CCCCGTCCTCGAGGATGATCTCGTGGCGGATGGGTCGATCCGGTACTACTCCGTGCGGGCCTTCAAACACGTCGCTGTAGGCGTCGAGAAGTTCGGTGATGCGTGAATCCGAAGAAGAGTCCATGGATGAAGCGTCATGGGGCGGGAGAGCTTGGAGAAAACACCCCCCCATCTCCTCGATGTCGTCTCTGATGATGGAAGCTCGCATGCTTGCGACGGATACCACGTGGCAGCTGATCGAAGGATGAGGAAGAGGTACCGTGCATGGAACTAATACTCCGTTCCTATCACGAATGTGAACGGTGCGGTGGAAGAAGTTCACCAGGTGATCCTCGCTTCGCAGCCATGACATGCCCAAGATCATGTCGAATTTGGTGTCCAGAATATCAAAGGACACCGCCTCACTTGCGTAAGGGGCAAAGTACACGGGGACGGCATCAATGCACCGGTCGATGGACTTGTGCGTATGACCATCTGCCAAAGTGACTTGCGTAGGCTGGGACTTCCTCCGGACACGTGGGCCAAGGCCGGCGCGTACCATGAAGTCCTGGCTAATGTAGTTGCGAGATGCTCCGCAATCGATCAAGGCGTTGCAGGTCGCCTCTCCGATCTGAATGCGTACATATAGCAATGGTGCGTCGATGTCGTCGTATCGTTGCGTCTTGAACTCGCGGTCAATCTTCACAATGTAAGCGTGAAGGTCGACAACCTCTACTCCGACGTCCATCAATGGAGCTGGTACTGCAGTGTGCAAGTAATCCCGCAGTTGTGCCATGAGCACATTGCAATGCGGTTTCGGCAATCGTCCGGTCGGGGGAACGGGCATCCACTGGAAGTCCGTGAACGTCAGAGGGTCGAGCACTTCAAGTCTCGACCACGACGATGAATCCCCGGTGATAGATTGCGGCGAAGATGCCGAATCGGTTGCCGATGGTGATGAAACCGTGCATGCGGTTGATTGTTACACGTGGAGCAGTTGGTCCAGTGGTGGGACCAAGTGGACAGCAGAATCCTCGTAAGTGTACCAAGGACTTGCGGCATGCGCATTCTCCCCAGATGTGTAGCAGGCCGCTAGCAAGGCAGCCTAATCTGGCGGAGTGAGAGGTGGAGTCGCCTCACCTCCTGCGCAACTCAGTTTCCCGAGTTAAGACGAGGCCGCACATCCTCCTTGGCAAGATCTTGGCAAAGGGAGGTCTTGTGCTTGGTGCTGTTGCATCAGTAACAACAGCCGTAGCGGCCGCGGTACTTGTACTCCGTCTCGGTCAAGCCGAACTTGACCCATGGTGGTGCTGGCTGTCCGTTTCCGGCCTGCGATGCTGATTTCGCCTTCCCGTTCACTCGGGGCTTGTTGTTGCTTTGCGGCTGGACAACAGCCACCTGATCTCCCTCACGTGATGCTGGAGTGGCTGCTGGGTCTTCTCCACTGTCCGATCGGACTGCAGCGAACTGCTGCTGTCGCGGACCAGCTCTTACCTTCTCCACATAGGTTGGCTGCCACGTGGACTTCTCGTGTGCAGCCGCCCTGTTGGTCTTGATGATCTCCCTTGCCTTATCAATGATTTCAGCGAAGGTGGTGTATTGCTCGCGATCACCAAGTGCCTGGCTCAGTGCAGCACATGACCTGTTGTAGAACTCACGGCGTAGATGCGTGAATGGTAAGTCCAGATCGGGCACTGCCGCGATCTTCTGCCATTCCGTGAGCCAGTCTCGTGTTGATGTGTTGCCCTAAGACATGGTGAAGAGACGGTTGATGGCTAGTGCAGGTGCGTCCTCGACGATGAACCGCTGCTTCCACAGCCGTGTTAACTCTTCCCATGTGATTTTGTCCTTCAAGTCTGGTACGTCGACGCCATGGGAGGTTGCCAGGTGGGTCAACCAGGTCTGGCATCCGGCCTTTGAGTTCATGAACAGGGCGCCGATGTACGCATGCTTAGCGACAGGCAGAATCCTGAGTTGAGTCGTGAATGCTTCCCACCAGAGGACCGGATCCTGGTGCGTGTAGTCGTCGAACTTTTCCAGTTGGAAAGTTGACATCTTGTACAACTTAGGATTGCCATCCGTGTTCGTCGACTGCAGCTGCTCGACCTCGGTCTTCAAAGTATGCAGCTGACTGCTGATGGTGGTCGGCGCAGCGAAGGTGCTGATGTCGCCGAGCATTGCCACCACGTGGTCAACGCGTTCCTCTAGTTGGCGGCTAGAGGGTGCACTGCTGGAAGCACCAGCATCTGGTCCTGGTACAACCTGTTCCATGTCCAGTACACGGGCATTGAGTGCCCGTGTCGCATCCTCGTGGCTCTGCACCATCCGGCGGAGGTTCGCCAACTCCTGGTGCTGTTGCTTCGGATCCTGGAACAGTTGTTGCAGTTCTTGGTTCTGTCTCTCCAACTCGGACCGTTGGTAGTTGCAAGCACACAACAACCGTGTCATGAGTTTGGAGAGGAACTCCTTATGCTGCTCTTCCAGTGTTGCCTCGTCGCCGTTCGGTTCAAAGTGCCAGAACTTGAGTCTGTCGATGTTGTTGGCTTCATGCCGCTGCAACAGATCCTGGGCTTCCTTGCGGCGAGCCTGGGCATCTGCGTCTGCTTCGGCCTGTAGCCGGAGCTTCTCTGCTGCTGCCGCTTCTTCAGCGTGTAGGCGGGCAGCCGTGGCTGCCAGCTGGCGTTGTTCCTCAGCCTCGATCAGAGCGATCTGAGCCTGGAACCGCTTTTTGTAGTCGGCCAGAGACTCGTTGGCCAGTTGGCCTGGCATGCCCGGAGCTGCGCCCGTCATGGTGGCGGGGCACTGCTGACGTGGCACTGCTGACGTGGCACTGTGTCTGACGTGGCACTGTGTCTGACGTGGCACTGCTGACGTGGCACTGTGTC